TTGTTTTCAAATCCTCATTTTTGTCCTCCAACCATTGTAGCTGATGCCCTCTGTCTCTCTGCCTCCCTAACCACTGTGGCCAGTCCATCTCTGCTTTGTTCCACTCTGCCTCCAGGATGATTCCCCCTCTGCCTCCTTCCGGGTGTAATCCCAGCAGACCTGCTCTCCCATGCAGGTTTCTAGCCTGATGTTTAAGGTGAAACTCAGCAGCAGAGAGGCACGTCCTGTGGGCAGAGCAATCTGGAAACCAAGGACTCTAAATTAGTGCAAAAGGCATGTTGTTAGAACCTGTTAGTGAACAAGTGTTAACTAACAAATTGTAACAGGTTAGTGGAGACAAGCCACACTGACCTTAACACATGTTAAGATGGTTGAGGTAAAGCCGGTGTGGAGATTAGGGTTCAACTCAACCACTTTAGCACGCGTTGAAGTCCACTCAGACTATTCAAAAGTGTTAGCTATTTGTCTTTACTGGCTATTAAACTATTAAGCTCTTCAGGGCACAGACAGTGTGTTTGTACAATGCCCAATACAATGGGATTCTGTTCTCAGTAATATACATAATAGTAATAGTGATGTCATCTACATTTTGTTTAGTTCCAGTATTGTGGTTTGTGGGATCCTGTGTTGGGGAGAAGGTGGCTGTAAAAATGTCTACACAGATATTTTGTCGAGCCTGCTCATGTGAATTCAGGCTAGTTTGCCACACTTTAGCCAAAGCCATTACAGTATTGTGTATGCTTTTTTTTCCCCAAAACATTCATATATTAGCAGACAGTCTCTGCATTTTTAAAACATAATGAATTGATGATCCAAGTTTCACTCATTTATCAGATTGGTCTCTGTAAAGCAAAGATTCTGCTAACCTCCAGCATCCCCATGTTTTGCAGGGAGGCCAAATTTCCAGTGCAGCACAATTACAATCATCCCAGCTCTGTAGATGGAAGAAACATTTTGGCTGCTGAAAGCAAATAAACATACCACCAATAGTTCTTAGTTTCTAGATTTTTGATCACTTGTGGTATTTTAAGTGAAATTTTAAGCCTGTTATGCTATTAGGGAAAGCATTTAGTCTATACCAGCAACACAAACCAATCTTGGATTTTTTTTAACAAGATCAAATGAAAGATTTTTTTCATTAAAACTAGATATTTTAGGTAGGAAATGTATAAATATGTTACATAATGTCCCTGAGTTGGAATTTGGTCTAGGTTCGCAGAGCTAACACATTTTGGCTGTGTCTAAAACAATACATTTTTGCTAACATTTCCCACCACTGTAGCTACATGAGTTGTAGCAACACCATAGAAAGGGGGCCAGGTGACTGACGGCACTTTAAGTCCTACATCATGTAATCCTGTTCAGTCCACGGCTGCATGAAATGGAGTTTGGAATGCCAGCAGCCTCAAGTGCTCCATCCTTACACACTAACTGTTGCCGCCATTGCTACTATACGATGGTGGAAAATACTAGCAACAACTTCCAGGTGTATCTAATACCAGGGTATAAAGGCTGATTTCTGGCAAACAGGGAACTAATCCATGAGTTGACTTCACTCAGGAGACCAGGGCAGAAAAAGGTTGCCACTTAAACTGAACAGAGAGCCAAAATTGGGGGCCTGGTGGAGTGATTTTTCTTTGGATGAGTGACCGTGAGCCAGGAAACGTGTGTGTGGTGTCATTCTATTCTATATAGGTTTTTACACCACGTTAGTATTGAACACCTTCCAGAACGGCGTTAAGCAATATGACTAACATCTGTCGTGTGTGTTCTCTTATCCTTTCCCCAATGGAGAAGTGTATGCAGTAGTTGGTCTTGTAGGGGATTTTTTTAAAATTATATCTACATATACATAAACACACACACACCCTGCTATAAGTTTATTAGAGAAGGCGAGGTCAAAGAAATGCATCTTGCACTTGGAGCAGGAGATGGTGAGGTGTGTTATGGTGCTTGGTTCCTGGTGGAGTTCATTCCACAGTCTTGGCCCATCCTGCAGAGAAAGTTTGGGCTCCTGTGCAGACGAGCTTTATTCTTATTGTTGAGAGCTCCTGTTCAACTAGGGTCTTCACACTGGAGCTTTAGTTAATACCCTGGTTGCAGACGGTTGAGTGCTTTGAAGAGAAGGACTGAGACCTTGAACTCAATTAAAAATTCTATGGGAAGCCAGTGTAGAGAGTGGAGAACAGGTGTGATGTGCTTGTGGTAGCCTGTGTAGTGGGGGGAAGAGACACTGCAGTTTCCTAAACACTACTGAAGACTTCATGCCCAAGTATATTGCATTGCTGTAGTCCAGTCAAAA